CCCTCCTTGTTAGAGAGGATGAGATCCAGTGAAGTCCCCATTGGTTTGGTTTGGGTTTTTTGCATGAATACACCCTCATAAACTTACAATCCTAGCAAAAATACATTAATTTCTTAATGTTGTTTGTTCACTGTTGGGAAGTTATTAGTCAGAACCTGAGCTGAAATAATGAATTGCTTCTGCTGAAAAAGGGAGATCCTTCTCCCTTATCACCTGCTCTGGAGCAGGCTTGCGTCAATTCAGTTCATTAAACAAGCAGAAGAAAGTTAATCTGATACAATTTTTTTTCCTTTGGGTCTGCGAGTTGGATTAGCTCAACAAAATGGGGGAGGTAAACGTGGGTGGAGAAGTGGGAGATTTGGAATGGAAAAGTAGTGCCTCGTGTTTAGGAGTGGCTGGCTGAGCCTCGACACCTTGACACAGCAGGATGAGGTGACTCTAGTTAAAGGGAGGCAAGTCTCCTTTGAATGGATGAAGTAAAACTTTCAGTTGCAACTGTCAGGACTTCTCATTCTGTTTCTATCTCCACAGATGGCTAAAAAGAAAGAGAGAAGAAAAACGAGCAGATGAACTAGCTGCTAAAGAGAGAGCAAGGCAGCTTAGATTAGAAGCCAGAAGAGCAAAACAGATGCAGAACATCCACTGTATTAGTTCAGAATCTAAATCCTTTCGCTTCACAGACCATTACAATTGAAAGTTTGCTGTAACCTCTGAGTTCTTGGTGACACCCCTCTTAATTTTTATGGCTTGAGCTTTTGCTTTTTACAGCTACTGACTTTTTTTTGTGTGGTGTTTTTAAAGCTTTCAAGTTTAACAGTTCACTGACAATTTTACTACCTATTTATTTGTAGCTTTGTTTAAAAGCCTGCTTTTATATATAACTCAGGGATCTTCTTGGCTTGACCAAATCTAAATGAGTGCGAGATCTATACATGAGGGTGTAAAATACACGGTTCCTATCTATACAAGGCACTTTATACTCAACTCCACCATGAATTCCTGGCTGCAGGCTAATATGTGAAATTTTTGCTGGATTAATATTGCTGTTTGCTGCTGCTTGTGATGAAGATTGTACAAGGTGTTATATTGTTGGAAAATGTTGTTTCTTGTACCACTTTCTACTGACCAGCTGTTAGTTCTGGCTAGACCAGAGGACTATTTCATTTTCATTCAGGGAAAGTGGTTATTGGAAAGTTAACATGTATGTGAACATGCAATAGTTTTTGAAACTTATTTCTGTGAGTAGTATTTAGTAGTTTTCAATTTCATGAAATTAAAAGGTTGTGTGAGCTATGACTTTTACCAATACCAAGGAAGCTAGATTACAATTACAATAAACTACATGACCAACCAAGTTGTAACCTTGTCAGCAAACATGCTGAGGTCACTTATTAAATGCTAAAGTTAGAGGAAGATGAACATTCAATCCAGCTATGTATCCAACAGATTTAATGATCTGGCATTGCTCTGCCTTTTTTCCACATTTAAGGTGTTTTCTGGAAGTACTGCAACAGACAGAAGTGTAGTAGATGCAAATTAGCCATTAGTATTTTTCCTCTTACCCTTTTGGAAGTAGTTACAGGCATATGGAGAGAGTGCTGGTGTTTGACCAGAGGGTGTTGTGTTGCAGCTTTTACCAGCATAGACAAAGGGCATGGATGTGAAATGAGAAACAGGAGTAACAGGTGCCTTTCTCCTTCCTGTACTTTCTGCTGACACCAAGGGCAAAAAATGTTTCTTGTGTCTAGCAAGCAGGGGGAAAGTTTGCGAAGGTCCATAGTATCTCCCCAATTATAGTAAGCTACAGAAGAAGTGTTGGTTCCTTGCCTCAGGGTGAAGGGTATGATCTATGTCCCTTTCACGCTGCAGAGAAAAAAGGGTCAGAAATACTGCTACACTAAATCAAAAATTGCAACTTGAAAGCAAGCAAATTTTATTGTAGTTTTCTTCAGTCAAACCAAAGCACAGCAAGGAACAGCAAGAACTTAAGTTACATATTCTGATTGTTGTATGAGATTCAAAGGAAAACTGGGTAAAAGCAACCATATCAGAAACCCTTTCTGCAAACTAGACGGCTACATCTGATAAAATGGGAGTGAAACTAAAATTAAAATGCATATTTGCATCTTCCTGCCTTTTCTGTTTACATTTGCAAATCAAATACGCTTCTTGGGATTTAGCAGATTATCTGCTAAAATCTCTTGCAACCTACATCAAGATAATAAAACCATACAAGTAAAAAAATACATTTTTTTACCAGTAGCTGTGTAAACTTGGTGTTTATCTTCAGCTTCCTATAACACCCAGGAAGACCTTGGGCAAGGACTGAGTTCTAATGCTAGGTCAAGTTTCAACTCTATGTACTGAAGGAGGTATATCAGTCTGTCTTTGCTGAGGATCAGCTATGCAACAGCTTCACTCTAGAAGCTGAAATAGATGGAAAAAGCCATTATTTTAGCTTTTACAGAAACAAAAATAATGTCACCCTGCAGAGTTTTCTAGAATCCATTTAAAACAATTTACTATTTATATATTATAGCTAGAGTTCATTCAAGCTCTTTCCCCTTCTTGCCAGGAGAGCTGCAACACTGTGTATGCTCTTAATTTCAACACTTAAGAGCTATGAAGAATCATTGCACATATACCTTTTTATTACTAAATTTAAAAGGCTGAACATAAACTTGGGAACAATTCATCACTTTGGCTAAGAAAAAAAGAAAGCATGGAGCTGATAATTTTCCATGGCCTTTTAAAAAATTATTTTAAACAACCTATCAGCACTTCATTTACTTTGGTACAGCTATGCTTTTATCTCCCTCTAAAAAGAAATTGAGTTTTGCTAATAAGGCATTAAACCTTAAATAGTCAAGGGCATCTCTATGCTTTACAAATTAGACCAGTGTAATATTTTTGGTCTTGCCTTTGTAGAAGAAACTATGTAGCTTTTCAGACTGAAGAGTAGTAGAAGGATGCCAGAGGCTAAGAGGATCCTGTCAGTCCCTTACTTCAAGGGGCAGAGAAGCAGAAAGTGCATAGTTTTCAATGTTAAACACACCCATTATGGAAAGAAATAGGAAAAAAGGGAACCCGCTGAACATCAAACTAGTGTAATTCTTCAGAAAGACTGCCTGTGCAGTTCCATTGGGTGTGTTTTTAAAGGGCTATCAGCTCTCCTTGACAGCGATTGCAACAATTGAAAGTTACATCTTCATATCTTGTATATGGATGAAATCTTCCAATATTCTTCTTTGTGGAAAGGAAGGAAGATGCGGAAGTATCAGAAAAAGAGACTTCTGTTGAGGTTTCCGTACATGTAGCTGGATCCAGTACACGTAGCACCTAAGGATTGAAAAGTTGAGAATGAAAATATCTATTTAAGTTTAATGGGATTTATTGCTCTTTAACAGCTAGGAAAGATTTCTGCTCAAAAGCAAGGTTTTTCAAGTTGAAAATAAATACCCATCTATCCAGACCCTCAATATAAAGATGTTAAGTACAGTTTATAAACTAGTAATGTCCATCAGAAATCCAAGGTAAGATTTTATTGAGACTAAAAAATAAAATCTCATCTTTTTAGCAGAGTTGAGCAAAAACAGGCATTGCAGATAACTAGACACTATGTGTCTTCTGCTGCTCAACTATTATTCAACTGCTTCCAGAATAAACTGTTAGCCTAGTTTTCTATTTAAGCATCAGGCTTCCTGCAGTGAAACCGTATCTTGAAAGATAATCATATAGCTTCTCTGTGTTTCCACCTGCTTTCAACGGAACTGGTTTTTAGGGCAACAGAAACTACTGCTGAAGCATTATGACTTATTCCTACCTGAACTTGGTTTCTTCTCCTACTCAGTTTTTAAACTCAATTAAGTATTTCCAGTTGGCTTCCTCCTAACACACTAATTCTAAACAAATTTTGACCCAGTTATTTGTGGTGCTAGGAACAGGGGAAGAAATTGTATGTATCATATTACTTATGTTGTTCTCCCTATTCTTCCAGGTTTTTTTTTTAGGTTTTGTTTGTTTGCTTGGGGTTGTATTTATTTATTTATTTTAAACTAGGGAAACAGACAGCTCTATTCAGCACATGTTCCCTGCATACAGCTTTTAAAAAAGGCAAGGTATTAAGTAGTTAACACAAAGCAAGGTGTTTCTGGAAAGAAGATCCTGTGCTGCAGATTGAAATACATGAAGAGTTCTTACCGTTTCAGCCATTTTCTCAGCAGGGGTATTGCAAAACTCCACAGCTGTTGAAGTCTTTTTTGGACTGTTAGTGCCAACATTTCCAAGAAGATGAGAGCTTACGGCTTTGGCTAGCTTACAGTTCACAGCTGCTAGCTCTGTTGTAGTGTAAGGCTGGGCACTAGGATAGTATGTCTGTTGTCTACCCCACTGAAGAGAAACCATAAGCTCCTCCAGCAGCCTGTGCAGAAAAGAAAATAAAGCAGTCTCTTTTACTCTATACTATCAGCACACAGCATACTTCAGAAGAATCATCCCTTCCCAAGACTCAATGCACGAGTTAAATCTTAAAAAAAAAAAAAAAAGAAAATAGAAGGAAAAACAAGGGTGTTTAAAAACAAGGAGGCAAACGAGCTATCCTCCAAGGCAAGGCCTCACCAACACAGTATTTTAACACTGATAAAACCTATTTGGCAGGATAAGCACTAAAAAGTCAATATGCATAGAAGTAGCAGTATGTTTTGAAAGGAGACAGAGGAGACTTGAAGTCAAGACAGTAAGTGATTAAACAGAAAAGCCTGAGGATATGAGAGAAGTCAGTTTTTCCCCTAAGACCTCACTCCTCCATGGAATGGAGAAAGAATTAAGGCTCTTTCAGCTCTGAGAATGAAAAGTGGACCATACCATCCATCAGCATAATTGACTTTTGTTGAATATCACTGGAACAGGGGAACATTATTTGATTCTTCTCTGGCCTAGAGTGAACTGACAGAAGTTTGCACAGAAGTAGTCTGGATTAGATAAACCATACCTCTGCGTCTCACTCATCTCTTGACGGAACTGATCACGTTCATTCAGCAAGTCCTGGATTGCACTTTGTGCATCCCTGGTTTGACGCTGAAGAATTGCTCTCGTATTTGTCAGCTCATCTGCCATAACCCTGCAAAAGAAATCTCCAATCAGTAGTGTAAGTGAGCAGTCTGAAAGTCACCTTTATTCTACTACAGACCATAATTAGTGAGCTCAAACTAAGTATTAAGCTGCTGCTCTCACCACCCTCCCCCACACAGCATCTGTATCAACCTTGTTACAAAGGACATGCATTAAAAGCAATTTCTGTTCAGCTACAGTCAACGCAAGTGCAAGATTATGTTTTAACTTACTGAATTAAAACAATCTTATGTCACTTAACAGATCTAGTAACAGACATTTTACACACAGCTTTGGGTAAGTGGATATGGCAGACAAGGATCCTGAGAGATAAAAAAGCTAAATACATTTTATTTTACTAACACAGTTCTCACAAGTATGCTGTAATCACATCTTTTCATATTAATCTCTAAAGACAACAGCAGACTGCATGCACCTCTTTGCCTTTCTTGGGGGCAAAAAACTAGATGTTATATGCACCAGATATGGGCAAAGAGCTACAGATAAGACTTGTATTTTGCTATGCCATGAGACTTGGATCAGACCCCTCAAGCAGCTATTTCAAATACCTGAGATACTGTAAGTGTAAAAAACAATTAAATGCAAAAAACCAGAATTAAACAACAACCAGTTAGAAGACAGAGATCTCAACAAACCAGAAAGTTACAATATCAAAGGGTGTTACTCTAAGCATATCTCCACACTGGCCTTCCTAGAAGGGACTTGCACCCCCGATCTCAAAGCTCCTGTTAATTCTAAAGAAACAAGTCAAATTAGGATAGTAACACCTGCCTAGTTAGGACTATCACAAGTACTTGCATTCACTCAATATGCAGAAACTTCTTAAGACCAGCAAATTAAAGGGACGACACTGAATTCTATTACCTTTTCCTTCAAGCAGTAAGGCCTTTTTGTAATACGCATTAAACATCATGTTTAAAACTTAGTTATATCAAAGTACAGTAAAAGATTAAAAATCCTAAACCACTATTCACATATCTGGTAAGACAACTACGCTTAGCAAGTTAAAAGTTTAGTCCGTTGTCAAATGAGATTTTGACATTCAGACCAGCTTAAGATTTGCTCCTGACTTTTGCTACTCATTGTTCTATGGTTCTAGAAGTAACAGGAGGGTCCTGAGCAGTTATACAATCAGCATTTAATGAAAAGGTGCCTCTACTCTTTCTTCTGTACTGAGCTGCCCTTCCCAGTCACTGTAAGCAGAGTTCTTAACCAAATCAACTTCTTCACAAACTGACATTGCACAATTACTGGGGAATAGGGATGAAAATCAAGCTAATGACTTGTCTTAAAGGGAAAGACAGCTGTCCTGGAAGACATTTTTAAACACTAAACTGCACAGAGTCTAACACAATCAATAACTTCTCTAGCTATGTCGACAAGAACTGTACTTCAGATTTTTGGAGGCTTAGGACCCACTGTATTACATTTGAAAAGCAGAACTTTTCAGATTTACAGGGAGCTTACTTTCTTTATACCTTTTCTGTATACTCAGATTTCACAGTGGGTGTCAGTATAGCTGTTGTGGCTGTCCTCTGCATATATAAGCACATTCCCAGGCATTGCAATGGGCCTCTGTAATAAAAGACTGAAGAAGAATGCTGTTGTAACAGCTCTGTAAGAGTACCTGCTTGCTAGGAATTTGCTTCGCCACACATCACACTGTATTGACATGCGCTCCAATTGTTCAGACAACTGAGATATATTCCGTCCCAGGACTTCATTTTCTAGGATTAGCTGATTTTTCTCACGAGCCATCCGTTCAAAGTGATACTGCAGATCATCCCCAACAGAAGCCACGAGTAATTTCTTCAGCTCCCGATTCACCTAGAATTAGACGAGACTGTCTTGTAATTATCAGTATAGAATGAAGCACCTCCTACTTTCAAAATGCTGTGCAAGTTACTTTGTTTGCTAACAATAAACCGCTTTTCTCTTTCCAGAACACGATGCATCCAGTGCAGAGTACATTAAGCCTCTCAATCTAGTCCAGTGAGCATAAACATTTGAGACTGACACATGTTTAATGCATTCTTGTTTAAATTCTAACAGTCCCGAAGAGGAAGAGTGAAAGCCTGCTATAAGGAACAAGGAAAGTTTCAATAGTATTCAAGTCCTGAATCAGTAAGGTAAAGAATTAGAGAAGAAATCCACAGATAGTACTATGCAGAAATTTACATTCACCCCTTCTATGCCATAAAATTTCTCACTTAGTGGTTGAGTGTAGGAGCAAAATCTTTCCTTATGAAATGCCCATTTCCCTGCAGCGCTGTAATGTGTTTCTCCTAGATTCAAGCCTTTGATACCTTCATCTGTTGTCAAAGCAGCACTTGATTACTTAGACATACTTCTGCTCCATCTTAGTGGATAAATTGAAAAGGGATACTATTTGTTTCAAGGCTAGAATGTCATAGCCATTCTCTTTGGTCACATTCACAAACTGCTTACATAAACGAAAGCAGCTCAGCTGTGTGTGAGAAAATACCTTTTATTTCTTACCTCTGTCTGTATACGCAGCTGATTCGAAAGACCTTCTTTATCCTGTAACAAGCGCTTTTCTGAATTCTTTAGCTTTTCAATGGCATTTTTCAGCTCTATCTGTTCTTTCTTGGGATCAGCAGCTCCATCTGACTGATGAAACGTGTCTCCTTTATGTCCCACTGATTTAGCTACCTTAGCATTTTTAGTTGGAACAACACGGGTGATAGCTGCTTTGGGGACTAATATACGAACAGCTTCAATCTCCACTGATTTATCAGCATGTACTTTCCCTAGCTGCAGCACTCCAGGACTCAGGGAAGAGACTGTCTTTTTATGTGGGCTGTGGTGGATATGATGGTTTGTAGCACTGGCTCCAGGGATTACTTCCACCAATTCAGCTGTCTGCTCTGTTTCCATGCCATCTCCAGGTCCTCGAATGGGTGATGAGGCGTCATCAACTAAAATTCAGAAACAGTGGAGGGGAAGTTTACCACCTTTCACTTTGTTATACTCTCACTGTAACTCTTTGATTATTTTCTGTACTTCAAATTTACAGATTTTAAATGCATACTGCATGTGTAAAATAGTCCTCTGCAGCAGTAATTACCAAGTACAAGTTAGAAAAGTCCTTACTCAAGTGTGTGTTGCACATTAGTACTACCAGTACAGGACACAAACATTGATCTGAGTTGTATTAATCTCAATTGCCTGCTCTCACACAAGATTAGGTAGATGAAGACATGAAAAGGAGCTAGTTAGGAGAAAACTCTTGACAACGTTACTCATAGGCTGAAAACAAAATCAGGTCTTGGGAACTGACAGAATCAGAGCAGTCTCATTTTAAAAGCAGTAATTAAATGAAAAGCAGCTATTTGCTACATAGCTATTAGCACCTTAAGAAGTTTAGCAGACTTATGTTTTAGTTGTCCAAGTGACAGTTTAAGAAAAGCCAACAAGCCAGTTCTGCTTCATTTCTAACCAACAGATCCCAGTATTCCCAGTAATACTGAAAGAAATTCTCCTGCTATACAAGAACCATAGTTAAAATTTTAGGAAGTTTAGGACCCACTGTACTGCTTCTGAAAAGCAGAACTTTTCAGATTTACAAAGAGCTTACTTACCTTTTTCTGTATTCTGCTCTGAATTCCCCAATATGCATGAAGTTTACTGAAATTCATTTTATTTAAGTTCATTAAGTTTTCACCTGAATGAAATATTATTACACCGAAGTTTCCTCATAATGGGTGAAGGCAAAAAAGTTTCTTAACACACAGCTACACATACTGCTTTTTTCTTCATAGTGTGGGCAGTAACATGAGCTTGCATCCTCCATCTAAATAAATTTTTAAAATGCTGTAGTAGCATCATTACAGTGCCCTACATTCAAGCTGGCTGAATGAGTACCTAAAGGTTCTAAATACTTGAAGAGGACTTACAGAGAAGTGTACAGATAACAGTACAAATTACAAACTTGTTTTTCAATACAAAGCTGGATTAGAAAACCATATTCAATTAAGTATTCCATCCAGGCAGCTGTTTTTCACTACAGTAATGAAGTCAAATAACCATTTCCTAATAGCTACATAAAAGGAGTAAGTTTAAACGAATGGAGCATGGCATACAGTGTAATTAGTCTTTAGAATTCAAGTTAAAAGTAATTTTAATCCAGTCTGCTCAAGTAACATGTGAATCACCTACCTTTTTCTAGAGAAGTCATTTTCTCTTTAGCAGTAAGCTCTTCCAAACTACATAAGTCTGAGGAATAAAGAGGGGGAGGGGGGCAAAATACAAATCTTTAGCAAGGTAACAATGACAGTTAATCTTGGATTACCCTATATTATAGTACAACCTCTAAACTCCAGTTCAGTAGCACACTGAAAAAAACCACAGCAGAAAAAAGGGAAAAAAAACAACCACCAACAAAAAAATGCTAAGAAGCACAGCAGGACCCAAATTGTTAAAAGGAGAAGGCCTACGAGATTTCTGGCGCTTGTTTCTTCTTTCACTAAGAGCTGGACCTCAATTCCTATTTGTTGCTCCTCATCCATCTCCAGTTTCCATTCCTCAAATTCATCATTCTAGTCTCCCTCATGTTTTCACTAAACCTTCACCTTACCCTTTAAAACTCTGTACCGCTCCCAGAGTACAGCTGCCTGACTGTGCAGAGATAACTGAAGATCATCATCACAGAAGCACAAGAAAGGGAAATTCCACACTGTGCTTAAAAGAGACCAAGAGGCAAGAAGGAAACAGCGGCAACTCCACAGTTGCACAATTGCTTTAGTCCTGCTTGCTAATACAACTTTTTTAAACATGGCCAATTCCCAGCCAAAGCAGGAGTCAGTGTCCTGAGTGGCTGCACATGCTTAGCTTAATTTAACAGTAAGTTCCCCCCCGCCCCCCCCCCCAGTTTGGCCCAATCTACCATCCAGGCATTTTCTCCATTATCCAACAATACAATTGACCATTGCCTCCTTTATCCACAGGTCCATCCACTCCCAACTTCTCAGGCCACTCGCTTCCCTTTTATTGGTTCTGTCACTAACTACATTAGCTTGAGATCAATATACCCCTGGGTTTTGTTGGTTTTTGGGTTTGTTTGTTTTGGTTTTTGGTTGGTTGGTTTTTTCCCCTCCTTCAGTTCTGTTATTCAAGGGAGTTCTCCAAAGCCCTTGCTTCCTTTCCTTATACCACTAAGTGAAAAGGGTTAACTACAACTTTTTTAACTTCCATTGGTATAGCCCTCTGCCCTGAAAAGATAATGGTAGCAGTAAGCACACTACCACCAGCTTTCTAGATTAATGACTTGTTTTGGGGAAGGTCAGTTTAGTTTTTGTGATGATCAGAAGACAAAAGAAACAAGTTTTCCTACTTAAACTTTCTTAAACTATAGATATGGGAAAATCTTGTTATCTATTGCTTCTACAGCTGGAGTTATGTTTTTATGTTTTTGCTCATTTAATAGCATTATGTGCTAATCACTACTGTTAATTCATTTTTGATGGAGGATCTCCACACATCCAAGGAAAACGAGGATGATGAAAGTGTAGCTCAGTTAGAGGCAAGAATACTCGATAAAAGACTGATAATGAGCATTTGGTCTTAGCTGCTTAATCTGAGACCACTTGATGATCCTGCTCCTTCAGTGTTCATGCTGTAACACTGTTCTTACTGTCCCATTACTTCCAAAGCCTCAGTGCAATCCTCCTCACACATCTCCCTTTTATTACATTCCAACGGACAAAACTCCTTCAGTGGCTGAATCGTTAACCACTGCACTCCTCAGCTAACGTCGTGCCCTGCAGAACCCCACATATGACAAACACCACAAGGAAATGCTGTATTAACACGGCTGAGTCACGATCCGCAACAGTCTCGAAAAACCACCACCGACCCAGTCTCAACCACTCAGTCCTCGCCGCATCTCGGCTACCGCGGACGAGGAAGTGCCTCCTCCCACCTCAGACCCCGCAGCCTGACGGTAACCAAGAGATAGACGCTCTGGAAAAGCTGTTTCTCAGTTCTCGGCCGACACGGCCCGAGCCCTCCCGCACCCCCCTCAGCGCCCCACGGGGCGAGCCCCGGCCGCTCCCAAACTCCGACCCTGTTACCCCCAGGCCGGTCGCAACCGTCAACTGCCCCGAGAGACCGGGCCACCCCCTTAGGCGGACAGAGGACCACCCTGCGGAAGGAGCGACGGAACCCAGAGACGTTACCGAAACACACAGAGACACCGTTCCGGCA